TGGAGAGCAGGAGAAGGTTCTGGAAGGGGTTGGAGAGCAGGAGAAGGTTCTGGAAGGGGTTGGAGAGCAGGAGAAGGGTTTGGAGAGAGGGAGAAGGGTCTGGAAGGGTTTGGAGACCAAGAGAAGGTTCTGGAAGGGGTTGGAGAGCAGGAGAAGGGTCTGGAAGGGGTTGGAGAGCAGGAGAAGGGTCTGGAAGGGTTGGGAGAGCAGGAGAAGGGTTTGGAGAGCAGGAGAAGGTTCTGGAAGGGTTTGGAGAGCAGGAGAAGGGTCTGGAAGGGGCTGGAGAGCAGGAGAAGGGTCTGGAAGGGGTTGGAGAGCAGGAGAAGGTTCTGGAAGGGGTTGGAGACCAAGAGAAGGTTCTGGAAGGGGCTGGAGAACAGGAGAAGGGTCTGGAAGGGGTTGGAGAGCAGGAGAAGGTTCTGGAAGGGGCTGGAGAGCAGGAGAAGGTTCTGGAAGGGGCTGGAGAAGAGGAGAAGGTTCTGGAAGGGTTGGAAGAGCAGGAGAAGGTTCTGGAATCCCGTGCTGGGGGTTCCCCCTGACCTGTGGGACGCCGGAGTCGGGCAGGCGGGACAGTTCCCACATCACGTGGAAGAAGAGGCAGGACAGGGCGGGGACGGACACCTGGGGGGACAACGGGACAAAAGTGGCCCCAAAGTGTCCTCAAAGGTCCCAAAGTGTCCCCAAAATGTCTCCAAGTGTCCCCAAAGTGTCCCCAGGGGTCCAAAAGTGTCCCCAAGGTGTCCCCAGGGGTCCAAAAGTGTCCCCAAAGTGTCCCCAGGTACCTCCAGGTGTCCCCAGGTGTCCCCAAAATGTGTCCAAGTGTCCCCAAGGTGTCCCAAAGTGCCCCAAACTGTCCCCAGGTATCACGAAGGTGTTCCCAGGTGTCCCCAAGGTGTCCAAAAGTGTCCCCAAAGTGTCCCAAAATGTCTCCAGGTGTCCCCAAACTGTCCCCAAGTGTCCCCAAGGTGTTCCCAGGTGTCCCCAGGTGCCTCCAAGTGTCCCCAGAGTGCCCCAAAAATGTCCCCAAGTGTCCCCAAGGTGTCCCCCAAAGTGCCCAAAATGTCTCCAGGTGTCCCCAACTGTCCCCAAATATCCCCAAAATGTCTCCAACTGTCCCCAAATGTCTCCAAATGTCTCCAAGTGCCCCCAAAGTGCTCCCAGGGGTCCAAAAGTGTCCCCAAGTGTCCCCAAGGTGTCCAAAACTGTCCCCAAAGTGTCCCAAAATGTCTCCAGGTGTCCCCAAACTGTCCTCAGGTATCACGAAGGTGTTCCCAGGTGTCCCCAAGGTGTCCCCAAAGTGTCCCAAAATGTCTCCAGGTGTCCCCAAAGTGTCCTCAAGTGCCCCCAAAGTGCCCCCAAAGTGTCCCCAAAATGTCTCCAGGTGTCCCCAAACTGTCCCCAGGTATCACGAAGGTGTTCCCAGGTGTCCCCAAGGTGTCCCCAAGGTGTCCAAAAGTGTCCCCAAAGTGTCCCAAAATGTCTCCAGGGGTCCCCAAAGTGTCCTCAAGTGCCCCCAAAGTGTCCCCAAAGTGTCCCCTGGTGCCTCCAGGTGTCCCCAGAGTGCCCCAAAAATGTCCCCAAGTGTCCCCAAGGTGTCCCCCAAAGTGCCCAAAATGTCTCCAGGTGTCCCCAACTGTCCCCAAGGTGTTCCAAGGTGTCCCCAGAGTGTCCCCAAGGTGTCCAAAAGTGTCCCCAAAGTGCCCAAAATGTCTCCAGGTGTCCCCAACTGTCCCCAAAATGTCCCCAAGTGCCCCCAAAATGTCTCCAAATGTCTCCAGGTGTCCCCAACTGTCCCCAAAATGTCCCCAAGTGCCCCC